TAAGTTAAGTTAAGTTAAGTTAAGTTAAGTTAAGTTAAGTTAAGTTAAGTTAAGTTAAGTAACAAGAATTGTCTAGAGACACCGGCTTATTTTATTTTATTATATTTCTCTCCCATCCATCTCCCCAACAAGGTAACTGGGCAGTTTACAAATTATAGGAACAAGCAAAAAGCTGTCGAAAGATTAAAACAGCCTTAAAAACTGTGCTGAAACCCCATCAACATATAGCCAGAAATATTCCTGTTAGGTACAACTGCAGAAATTTATAATAAAGGGAATACACGTCTAATATTACATGTGTTAACAGCAGTGGGAATTGTATTTGCACAATATTGGAAAAATGAAGATACTCCTACAGGTGAAAAGATAATTAGAAAAACCTTAAGATTGTGCAGAGAAGGATAGATTGACATTATAAATCAAAGACAAGGAACAAACAGAATATTTTATAACACAGGACTTGCTTTATCAGTGGCTGGATAAAACAGGTAGAAGTTAGAAGATAACTGATTACTGTTATGTAAAAGTAAATGATGAAAGGTTATTATTATATATAAGCAAATATTACCATTATCATCATCATCATCATTTTCACTAGCATAATTATGATGATTCTGTATAAGAAAATGGACTCGTCACTACACTGTTGATGAAGCACTTATGTATATTAAAGGAAAAAAAGTATAAATAATTTTTTGAAAGACCAGGTAGCCAGAAATACATACATTTTCTGTTGCACCGTTTTTGTTTTGCAAACCCCAAACAGGAAATCCCCACAACCCCAAACCGCAATTAAATGAAAAGAAAAGAGAAGATGGGCTAAAAAAGGTAACCAGCTTCCTAGTTTCCCCTTTCTTTCCACTTCCTACGCATTTCTCTTTTTTCTGGAATACCAACTGCAAGACCAGGAAACAAGTCGAGTTGCCGACTCCTTAAAACCTCTCAACGTGAAAATAGAAACAGAAACTCATTTGGGGGTGGGAGGAGAATAAGAGGAAGGATTTTCCTCCTCCCCCCCCCTAAAAAAAGGCAGAAAAATGATCGTTTACCTGGATATAAGGTAGCTTTTAATGGCGCTGATGATCACGGAAGAGTCATTCAGTTGCTGGGGAAAAAAGAGAATTAGTGGTTAAGCATCAATAAAGCAGAATGCAAAACCTTTTTCTCACACTAAGCTCAGCTTTAATGTTTTGTTTTGATCTACACCGTCATGGGTTAAATTCATTTAAACGCGGCCCGATGAAATGTAGGGGGAGGGGAAGCTGCCAACGTGAAATCATTCGGACGACCTGGAGAAATTTGTTAAGCGTGAGAACAATTAATCAATACAGGTAGTGCTTGACTGTTGTGGCTCGCAGGCAGCCTATGCAGACGGCAGTGGAATTGGACAGTGTGCGCCGAGCTGCCAGAAGGTGACAGCAGCTGAGACAAAAGGGGCGACTTGGGAGTAAGGCTGGGAGGTGATTGCCCCTCCCATAAGGTATAAAGGACAGGGCAAAGGGACAGGAACCTTTGCAGGAAGCAACATCGTTCACTCTGTTTGGATTAAACCTAGAAGCTCTGCGTGTAAAAGTGCTGGTAATGAGTCTCAAACAGTCCCTCGAGATAAGCACCCACCTTTCTTTTCTGTGAAGTGCTGCCAATAGCAGAAGTGTCAAATGAACTAGAAAAAAAAAACCACCGAAGTACAAAGAGCTTCAAGAATGAATCTGAACCGAACGACTTTGCTTCCTGCAAAGGTTTCTCTACCTTTGCCTGTCCTTTATTCCTTATGGGAGGGGCAACCCTCTCCCAGCCTTACTCCCAAGTTGCCCCCCTTAACAACATAAATTTTAGTGGGTTGTAACTCAAGGACTACCTGTAGAATATTTTTTCTCCAGAGATTGTGGGTGCTCTGTCCTTGGAGGCTTTTAAAAGGAGCCTGGACTTGATCAGGATGGTATAAATGTCTCCTGCCTTGAACAGGCAGGGGTTGGACTAGAAGACCTCCAAGGTCCCTTCCAACTCTGTTATTCTGTTAAAATAATCTGACTAAAGAGCAGGCAAGCCCTGTGTGCCCCCAAAACACAATATATTTACCTCTATCAGATGGGGGTGGTGGTGAATAAATCTGAAATCAATATAATCATATTTATTTGGTTGAGGTCAGCAAAATTGAAAACCAAAACAAACCAGGGTGAAGTAAATAAACACAATAGATAAAAAAACAGTCAGAGGATTCAAAAATTCGATTACAGAATCAAAAGTTGTTTACATACACCAATATTATTGTAGATATTTCTAACAACTTTCAGAGAATCTGTAAACGCCACCTTCAGTACACACACACACACACACTTACCTGCTCTCCCATCGTGTAAACAAGGGCAAGAGCTGCTCCATACTAAGCATTTTGTTATTATGGACGCTATTATTTACTACTACTAGTAGCAATAATATTTTTTAACACTATGGTAAACTGAGATAATTCCTGTCTATTGCTGGTACGTGAACGTAATAGAAGTTTACTTATTTAAAGAGGGATTGGCCAATTTGGAAACTCACCAGAGCACTTTCCGTATCGATGAGAAGAATGGGGACCTTTCTGTAGGAGGAAAATTTGATTTCTTTTCTCATGACTGGGTTCACCTCCACAATGTCGTACGGCAGCCGGTGGTAATCCAGGAAAGCTCGGACTTTGCTGCAGAATGGGCAGGTTTTATACTGGTAGAGCGTCAGGTGGAGATGGCTATCCGGCAGGATCTAGAAGGGAATTCAAGATATATCCAGCTTCGGGCTATTTGCTGACAAGCCTTCTCCCCAGAATGCAAACACAATAGCCCAAGAGAGAGAAAAAACACCACCACCACACAACCACCCAAGTTGCTCCTTCCCTATTCCAACCTCAAAAACCTCTTTTTGCAAATTCTGTCAGCTAAGCTCTGATTAGCTGACATTAAGAGTTTCTCGCCTGCTCCAGAGGGTGAACGTCATTGCTCAGAGGATCACGGGTTGCCCTCTCCCCTCTTTGGAAGAGCTTTAGAGCTCCCGCTGCCTTAAGAAAGTTCAAAACATTCTCAAAGATCCATTTCATCTTGGGAACCCTGTTTTTGAACTATTACCATCTGGCAGACGGTACAGGACAATAACAAAAACAAGGACAAATAGGCTGAAAACAGCTTCTACCCCAGGCCAGTAACTCTATTGAATTCTACTGTATATTGTATTGTTAATGCAATATCAGGGGTTTTCCATTCAAATCAAATCAAACCTTTATTAATACACAATATGTATACAATGAAATTAAGCGAGCCTCCCTTGGCGCAGCCCACCTCAAACACAAAATACATCTCAATAACTGCAAAGGAATCCCTAAAAAACCCAAATAAGTCATAACACACATTCCCACATACCAGGGGAAACTTGACAGCTTTAAGACTTGTGGACTTTAACTCCCAAAATTTCTCCTCCAGTCATGTTAGCTCAGAAATTCTGGGAGTTGAAGTCCACCAGTCTTAAAACTTGCCAAATGTGAAGACCCTTGCCATATACCTATATGTAGGATGTGTGTCTGTGTTTTATTTTTATTTTTATTATTACCTTTATTGTCAAGAGTAGAACATGTGTACAATGAGATTGGCTGAGCCTCCCTTCGTGCACACACATCCCCAACACATATAATTTATAATGTACACTGAAGGTGGCGTTTAATTTTGTCCCAGATGCAATGACAATAAACTTTTTTTTTTAAAGCCCTGTGGACTTCATCTCCCAGAATTCCTCCACTTGCATGCATGGCAGTTCTGGGAGTTGAAGTCCAGGCAGCTTAAAGGGGCCGGCTTGAGATTCAACCTTGAAGCAAGGCTCAGCAAAAAAAAAAATTAAATTAAAATTAAATTGCATTTGGAGGGGAGGGTCTTAAGGAACAAAGCCACTAGTGGCGGCTGCTTTGGGGGGGGTCCTGGGGATCCAGGGGTTGCAAGGCCCCCCATCCTCCCTCCGCAAGTACCCAGGAGGGTCCTCAACCCGTTGCGCCCCATGCAATCCTCTCCTCCGCTCCCGCCCCCCCGTTGGGTGTTGCAATGGTTGCATTTGCAAAATTGCAACGATCCCAGTGCAGAGCAGAGGTTTGCACATCTGGCTTCACACACATAGAATCCTTCCTCTTCCTGGCTTTTACCCCGTCCCGGTGTTGGTCGGCCAGCTGTTCCTCGGCTCCGAAGCGGCGGTGCAAAATCCGGCCGGTGCCCACCGCGGCTCCCAGTGCGAAGGCGGCCCCCAGCAAGGCCCTGGAGGAAGGCCAGCTCCAGCCACGCCCGGGGCTCCCGGAGGAGGAGGAGGAGAAGCCGGACCGGGGCAGCCGCCACGCGTTTCTGCTCCCCAGGCCGGCCCAGCCGCTACAGGCAATCCGCGCCAACGCCATCTTTCGCCTTTTGCAAAAAGGGAGCGGGCGGGCGCCAGGGGAAACCCGGCTGACGGGTGGAAGGGCGGGGGGAGCTTTGAAAATCAATGCAAAAACCCGGTTGGGTTTAGAGATCCCTTTCCCCGCAAAGCGGCCGGCTCCGGGGAATTGTAACCCGACACGCGTTTGCATTCTCACGTGCAGCGGCTCTCTTGCGCTGGAGGGTCGATCCCTTGCGCCTTTGGTTTTTTTTGGGGGGGGGGGGGTTAATGCAAAGCGTGCTCTGCAAGAGCCCCCTCCCTTCGCTAAAGCGACGCTTCCCCGTTTTGCACGGGTGTGCGTGCGTGCTGAGCCAGGCTGTCGTGTGAACGCGGGCCCGCTTGGTATCCAGGGCTTGCCTGGGGTCGGAGCTTTGCCCAGCGAGCGGGTTTGCAGGGAGGAAGCCTCGAAGGGAGAAGCTCCCTCCCTTGATTTTCCCCCTTCTCGGCGGAAACCCGCTCCCCCCCCTCCATTTTTTGCTTTTATTCCTCCATCTGCAGCATAGATATAAATCGCCCGCCCGCGTCCTTTCAGACCAGCGTCCTGCCTAGGAACCATAAACTTTACACCAAGCGAAGGGGCGGGGTTTCTTAAAGGCGCAGGCCCTGACCTTCGGAGGAGGTCAATTGCTAGTCAATTTCACCGCCCCTTTGCAAAAGGGCCGTTGATGATCCTTCATTAATTAAAGGGAGGGGGTTTGAATAAATCTTTTGCTTGCTGGGTGCTTCCTCCCTAAATTCCCCCAATTATTTCCCCCAATTAACAAATAAAAATTAATTTAAATTAATTTAAAAAGGGTCATCGACGATCCTTCATTAATTAAAGGGAGGTGGTTTGACTAAGTCTTTTTTGCTTGCTGGGTGCTTCCTCCCTAAATTAACCCCACCCTTTCCCCCAATTAATAAATAAAAATTAATTTAAATTTAAAGAGGGTCATCGATGATCCTTCATTAATTAGAGGGGGGGTTGAATAAATCTTCCCCCCTCCAATTAAATTCTACAGATTATTGTGCATAATCAACCACTATGAATGCAATGGAGGCATTGCTGCCTTTTAACATTAAATTAATAATGTCTTGGGTTGAAGGGTCGCGGTTATTAAATATCTGGGGGTGGTTTGGCCCCCCCCGCAAAAAAACCTGGGGCCAGGGGGCGGGGCTTAGCCGGCAGGGGGCGGGGCCTGGCCCTTTGCAGCCTTGTATCCGCGCTCCATCCGGGAAGCGGGGGGCGGGGCTTAGCCGGCAGGGGGCGGGGCCTTGTCTCCGCCTTCCATCCGGGAAGCGGGGGGCGGGGCTTAGCTGGCTCTTCCCCAGCCGGGATGTCGGGACCGAACGGGGAGCCGCAGCTCCATCTGGGGCGGGGCGGCGAGGAAGAGGAGGACGGGGAAGAGGAGGAAGGCTTCGGAGAGGCAGGTAACCTTGAGGTCCCTTTGCAAGGGCAGATCTCCCCCCCCTCCCCCCAGTGGATCCCTCTCTAAGGCGGGTGGGGGGGAGAGGCGGTGGATCTCCCTTTGCTTTTCTCCCCCCCCCCGGGGGGGCGGGGATCGCTGGGGATCAAAGCCGGGAGGGAGCTGCAGCTTTTGCAACCTGCCTGGCAGCTTCCGAAGGGATAACAGGAGTTGGAAGGGACCCTTGGAGGTCATCTAGTCCCACCCCCTCTTGCTCGAGCAGGAGAGGTTTGCAACGGGCGGCCGCGTAAATAGGATTTACTAGGCGAATGAATGAATGAATGAACGGACCTGGGTTTCGGCCTCTTCAACCTGTGGAAGGGGCTGGGGGACGTGAGCCTTGAACCCGGCAAGGGGGCCATCATCTCAAAAAATTGCAAGCTAAGAGCGAGGCTTTAAAAATGGAATCATCTGGTCAGAAGGGACCTCGGAGGTCGTCTAGTCCAGCCCCTGTTCAAACTGGGGAACCTTCCTACTGTCCTGGTCAAATGAGTGTCCGTCCGGTCTTCTTTTTGAAAACCTCTGCCCCAACCCCAGGTAGCAAGGTTAAAATAAATATACTGATTTATTTATTGCAGTGACTTCTCTGGTTATTTTATACCCTGTTTTTAATGTGTGGTTTTTAATGTTTACTATGCTGTAAGCATGGCCAGGGGTTGTTTGTAAGGAGATGGGAGGCCAATAAACTTAAGAATGAAATAATTAATTAAAAGAATTAATAATTAAGTGGCATAGATTATGTTCCCTAGTTTGGGTCATAAAAACATCTGCAAGAAAATCCCCACAGAGCCCCAAGGACCCTACAGTCCTCCTCCTCCTCCTCCCCACACCCCTTCTAGCACTGAAGATGTTCCCTAGTTGGCTCATAAAACGTCCACAAGAAAACCCCCCAAGCTCCCTACAGTCCCCCTTCTCTTCTTCCCTCCTCCCCACACCCCTTCTAGCACTGAAGATGTTCCCTAGTTGGGTAATCAAACATCTGCAAGAAAACCCTTCACTCAGAACCCAGAACCCCACTGTCCTCCTTCTCCGCCTCTTCCTCCTCTCCCCTTCCTCCTCTTCCCCCCCTTTCTCCTCCTCCTCACCCCCCTTCTAGCACTGAAGATGTTCCCTAGTTGGGTAATCAAACGTCTGCAAGAAAACCTCTCACTCAGAGAGAACCAAGGGCCCCACAGCCCTCCTTCTCTGCCTCTTCCTCCTCTACCCTTCCTCCTCCTCCTCCCCACACTCCTTCTAGCACTGAAGATGTTCTCTAGTTGGGTCATAAAACGTCTGCAAGAAAAAAAAGCCCCAGCTCAGAGCCCCAAGGACTCCCTCTCATTTCAACCCCCAGCTACGAATAACCTTCCTTGATGAATTAAAAGAACCAAGGAAGAAAGGGGTGGCTTCCCTTTGGATCTTTTTGAAAGCACTTTGGCTTTTTTTATTTTTCCCCCTCCTTCCCTTCCCTGGACAGAATACGCCGCCATCAACCACATGCTGGACCAGATCAACTCCTGCCTGGATCACTTGGAGGAGAAAAATGATCACCTGAACACCCAGCTGAAGGAGCTGCTGGAATCGAACCGGCAAACTCGCCTGGAGTTCCAACAGCAGCAGCAACAACTCGGCCAGGATGGAGAACCCCGGAAAGCCCAGCCGGATTCTTAAGGGTCGAAAATCAACTTTTGAGACTTTTAAATTCGGAGGTTGCAGCTCTCTGGCCAATGAGGTTTGCGACCAGATCCTCTTAAATCCGGCTTTAAAAATAATAATTGCAAAATCTCGTGGCTGACTGGGGAGATCCCCATGCTGCAAATCTTGTTCGTGCATCTAAGCAAGGTTTTTTTTTTAAAAAAAATACATGCTGTGGTTGTGGGAATTGTCACGGGAAGAGGTAGTGAGTGTTTTCCATTGACTTCCATTGAGCGGCCATTTTGGGGTGTAAAAATCTGATTTACGACCATTTTTTCCACCCTTACGACCACTGCAGTAGTTAGGAGATTAAAATTCAGAGGCTTGGTCGCAGAGTCTGACATGTTGATCCCCGTTTGAAACAAAGTCGGCGGGGGAAGCCACTTTAGAATCTGGTTACTGACTTAACAGCGGCAGTGATTCATGTAATAACTTGGCAAAAAAGATCGGAAAAATGGGGTAAAATATTCTGAGCTGTCTCGCTTAGCAACGGAAATTTTGTTGTGGTCGTAAGTCCTGCAATTGCAAACCTCTCTTTATTTGGATAATTGGATAGAATGCTAGCATTGCTGGGAATGTCTAGCGTAGTTTAAACCAGAATCGGTCTGATTCAAAAGACCAACATTGAGAGGCAAAACAAGCTACCTTCTGCCCCTGAATGTTTGCAAAACATTCCGTTTCTTTAACCATGGTTTACCACTCCCAGCTGAGTCTGTTGCACAAACCCTGGAAAACATTTTCTTCCGATTAACTTAGTTAAATCATGGCCTGAGCTTGGTCACTAATTAAACAATGAACAGTGTACAAAATGTCTCAGATTGTCTTTCGTGTTTCAAAGTTTTCTTTTTCTTACCTTTCTTTTTTTCCTTCCTTTTTTCTTTTCCTTTCTTTTCCTTCCTTCCTTTTTCGTTTTCTCTCCCTCCCTCCCTTTGTTCTTTTGTTTCTTTCTTTTCCTTCCTTTCTTTTTTCTTCCTTCCTTTCTTCCTTTTTCTTGGTTTTCGTTTCCTTCCTTTTTCTCTTACTTCCTTTTTCTTTTCCTTCCTTTTTCTTTTCCTTCCTTTTTCTCTTCCTTCCTTCCTCCCTTTTTCTTCCTTTTTCCTTTCTTTTTCTTTCTTTTCCTTCCTTCCTTTTTCTTTCTCTTCCTTTTTCTTTTCCTTCCTTCCTCCCTTTTTTCCTTTCTTCCTTTTCCTTCCTTGTTTTTCTTTTCCTTCTTTCTTTTCTTTTTCTTTCTTTCTCTTCCTTTTTCTTTTCCTTCCTTCCTCCCTTTCTTTTTCTTCCTTCCTTCCTTTGAAAAATTACAGTAAGCCCTGCATTGAAGACAGAAAGAAAACCTGCCGGGGGTGTTTTCTTTTCGTTTTCTTTTTTTAATTTTATTTTTAAAACAACCAACTAAGAAAACTAGAACGTTTCTCTTTTCACTAAAAGGTGAAGAAGGGAGGGAAGAAAACTCTCAGGGGGGAAAAACTACAGGGGTGGGGGGGAAATATCTTTTGCCTCCGCTCTCATCTCGCCTTGCGACGGCTGGACCGCCGGGGGCCAGAGACCGTCGGCTCTTCAGCCGGCGTGGAAGGCGCCCCATCCTGGCTGGCCGGACCTTCCCTCGCTTTGTCTTCGCCTGGCACAGTTGATGCAGAATCTCCGGCCAGTTTTTGCTGAATTTCCAGGCTTGGCTGCTTTTCCAGGGGGTGCAGTCCGGCCCCTTCCCCTGACTCCTCGGCGCCTGGCCCCGCGGAGCTCTCGCTCCTCGGCGAGGAGGGCTCGCTTCTCTCGTCGATGACCAGGACTCCGCAGATATCCTCCGCTTCAAAGTATCCTGAGCACGTCTGGATGACCTCGGGGGACTCGCAAGCGGGTGGGATCCTCCGGTGTCCGGCAACGGCTTCTTCGGGACCGGGCGTTTGGGTCGCAGAGGGGGGTTGGGGGTCGGTCAGCTGTGAGGGGGTCTCCGTATGTCTGGCCGTGGCCTGGAGCCGGGAGGCTCTGTATCTCTGTGGGCAGAAAAGAACAAACCACGATGGGATCTCTCTTTTTTTAAAAAAACAAAAAAACAAAATGGCCCCCATAAAATGGCTGTGAAGATGGCAGCGGAATCGGGCAGTGGAGAAGAACGGGGACCAGTCCGGGAGTCTGGGGAGGACTCGGACGAGGGTCCTGCATCCGATGGAGAGATGGGGCCAGGACCATCTGGGAGTGGGGCGCTGACTCCGGAGCCTCCGGAGTCTGGCAGCAGCAAGGCAGAGGAACCAGGGGAGCCTGTTCCCAGGGCCAGCGTATGCGCAGAGCTGCTAGAACTGTGATGGCAAACCTATGGCACACGTGCCACAGGTGGCATGCAGAGACATTTGCGCAGTCATGCAAGCCACACCCAAACTTAACTGCTGTGCGCATGTGTGCACCTCCCAGCTGGTTTTCGTCCCATTTGAGGCCTTTTTCGGCCTCCCAGAGGCTCGGGGGAAGCCTCTGCAGCCTTTGGAAGCCGAAAAACAGGCCCATTTCATCACTTCCGGTTTTCGTCACTTCCGGTATTTGGAGGCCGAAAAATGGGCCCGTTTTTCAGCCTCCAAAGGCTGCAGAGGCTTCTCTCGAGCCTCTGGGAGGCCGAAAAAGGCCTCAACCAGGCTGAAAATCAGATGGAGGGCACGTGCAGGGCAGGTAATGGGGCAGCAGGGGGGGTGTTGCATGCGCATGCGCAGGGGTGTGTGAAGGGCATTGCATTGTGACACCACAACAAAAAGGTTTGCCATCACTGTGCTAGGAGGCAAGAGCAGCTGAGACAAAAGGGGCGACTCGGGAGTAAGGCTTGGAGGTCATTGCCCCTCCCATAAGGGATAAAGGACAGGCAAAGGTAGAGAAACCTTTGCAGGAAGCAAAGTCATTTGCTCTGTTCGGATTAAATCTTAAAGCTCTGTGTGGACTTTGGTTGTTTTTTTTACACTTAATTTGGCCCTTTAGTTGTTGGCAGCAATTCAAAGGACAGAAAGGTGGGTGCTTATCTCGGGGAACTATTTGGGACTCACTACAGGTTGGGAATGAACATAATTCCCAGCGTTGAAATAAAACAAGAGTGGTTTGGACTAAGCGTGTGCTTAATTATGGTCTCTGGAAGCCTTGGTCAGAACAGAACCCCACCTTGCAATTTTACACAGCACGCTAGTCCTTATGGAGACAACATATCTTAAGGGAGAAAGTCCAGGGGTTGAATAAGGAAGGCGCTGCAACAAGCCTGTCCAGGCACAGAGAAATTTGTTTCTGGAGAGCGTTTTTTTTCCCAAAAGGTAAAACAAAGCAAAATCAAAAAACCCCATTTTGTGCATTTATTTATCTTTATTTATTACATTTCTGGGCTTATTTATTTATTCAGTTTGTATGTTTATCCCGTGGTCTTGTTTGCAGGAACCTGTGGTCGCATGACCACAATTTACAACTATTTTTTTTTTTTTTGTGGAATACTGGAAGTACTGACTTCCAGTTTCTTGCAAAAAAAAAATAGAAAAAAGAAAAGAAAGTCCCATTGTGAGCAACGGAATTCCTTTAGGGGAGGAGAGGAAGGAAGGAGAAGAGGGAGGAGAGGGAGAAAAGGAAGGAAGGGAGAAAGAATAGGAAGGGAGGAGAAGAGTAAGGAAGGGAGAAAAGGGAAGGAGAAAGGGAAGGAGGGAGAGAGGAGAAAGGGAAGGAAGAAGAGTAGAGGGAGGAGAAAAGTAAGGAAGGAGGAAGGGAAGGAAGTGAAGGAGGAGGGAAGGGAGGAAGGAGAAGATTAAGGAAGAGAAAGGAAGGAAAGGAAGGAGAAGAGTAGGGAAGGAAGGGAGTGAAGGAGAAGGTTAAGGAAGACGAAGGAGGGAGAAAGGAAGGGAAGGAGAAGAGTAAGGAACGGTGGAAGAAGACAGAGAAAGAGGAGGAAGGAAGAGAGAGGGGAGGAAGAGGGAGAAGAAAGAAGGACTAACCTGCAGGTTCTCAAAATGCATCCTGGACTTGCAGTGGGTGAGCCGCGTGGCTGAGTCGCTGGAGTAGAATTTGTGGCACAGCCGGCACAGGAATCCTGCCACGGGCACCAGGAAATCCAGGCCTGGCAGAGGGAGGAGGAGGAGGAGGAGGAAGAGGAGGGAAGGGCACGGATCAAGAAAGCATAAAACCCACAGGAGGAGAGAATCTTATCCCCGGTAATCCTCCACTTACAACAGTTCACAACCAACGTTACAACGGCACTGAAAAAAAGTGACTAAGGGCCGCTATTCAGCCTTACAACCGTCGCAGCATTCCCCACGGTCACGTGGCTTACATTCGGATGCTTGACACCCGGCTCGTACTTACGACGGTCCCTTAGTGAATGGGGAAGCCAGATTGGCTGTACAGCCGTGTTACTCAACTGAACCACCACCGTGATTTGCTCAACGAAGGCGGCAAGAGCAGTCGTAAAACGGGCCAAAACCCACTGAAGACACGTCTCCCTTAGCAACCAGAGACCCTGGGCTCAAAATTGTGGCCATAAGTCTGAGGATGACCAAAAGGAGGACGATGTTAAGGCATTGTGGGAGGTGGGCAAGATTTGAGGGGCGGTTTGGTGGCTGCAATTCTGGGAATTTTGGGGGGTGGGGGGGCATGGGGGAATCTTTTCAAACCAGAAGATGTTTGTCTACTACCTGTTGAGCTTCTGCAGAGGGAAAATCGAGAGAGGAAGCAAGAGAAATAGGAAAGAAAAAATACACACCCCCGCGCAAAGATACAACACGGTGTAGCAACTTGCTTCTCTTACCGTAGACTGTATCCGGACAATACTCGGCGTTTCCTCCAGGGTCTTCCACAGACGTTTCTCTCTGCCCAACCTGGGAGGGGAATGAGTAGGGGAGGATTTAAACGCCCACCTTTGACTTCGAAGTTCACAAAATAAAGAGGACATTTTTAAATGAAAGATTATAATTTAATAAAAGCAACTACTACTATTATTATTAGAATGGCATAACGGCTTTGATGTAAATATGAATATGATTTTATTTGTATCAAAGTATGATCAGAAAGGGGATTTTTTTTAAACATATAATAGTGGCATAGTTGAAAATTACCAAGGGGATAAACAATGGAAAATTAGAATTTAATATAAATTTATGAATTGCTATGAGAAATCTGTAATTTGTTAAACACCGCAAATATGATTATTAATGTAATATCTGTGGTAAAAGGAGTGCTGTTAAGAACATAGAGACTGGCATAAAAATAACATACTGTAATATCAAATAATCAAGATTGACAATATGTGTATCAATATCAAATTTTATAAGATTGTTAATTGTATTTTAGTATGAAGAATATTGTCATAATTGTTTTAAAATGTAAGACACTCTGGAATCACACTGTTCACACAATTATATGCTTGTTGAAACACAAAATAAAAAAAGTATTGCAAAAATAAATAAAAAAAACAGTGGGGAAGAAGAACAGCTGAAGCCTGTTCCCAGTGTGCACATGCGCAGAGCTGCCAGGAGAAGGGAACAGCTAAGGAACAAGGGTCAACTTGGGAGTAAAGCCATAGGTGGACATGAATGTCCCCTCCCATAGGGAATAAAGAGGAGAGAAAGGGGAGTGGTGTTTGCAGGAGACAATTAGTTCGTTTAATTAGTGTGAAGATCTGTCCCTGACTTCTTGCCAAGTATCGTCTGCTACAGCGTGGCGTTTGGAAGCGATCGGCCTGGCAACTCTCCGAGCCTGATCAAGGTCGGCAATTGAGAAACCTCTTGAAAGACTGTTGGCCGGGACTTGGCTGGAGAGGAATTCACCGTAAACTAAATAAAAAGAGGTTTGACTGGGACGAGGAGTCGGCTTCGTGCTGTTGGGGAAGCCTAGGTTAGAACAGAAGGGATTGCAAAAAAAATAAAATAAAAGCAAACAACATCCCTTAAGTCACGGGAAAGAGGGAGATGGAGGAAGAGGCATGATGTAGGACCCCCACCCCCCAGACTCAAGGGGGTCTCAGAGGAGGCAGGAAAAACACAACCTGGTTGGAAAATGCAATCACTGCAGCCTATCTGAATAAAGCGGATTTTTAGCGTTTCCCGGCCAGCCCCTTCGGCTCTGCTCTGCCTCCTCGCGAAGAAACGGGAGTTGCCCTTACCTGTTGGTTCACGGCCTCCACTGGGTCCAGCTGGGGCCCCTCCCCTGCTTCCTCCTCTTCCTCATCCTCATCCTCATCCTGCTCTTCGAAGCATCCCACGGCGTCCACCGTGATCAGCTCCTCGGAGTCCTCGGGGCCGCCCAGGTCTTTCTCGCCCAGCCTCACCTGGGCAGGTGCAGGGGAAAAGAGGGGGTCAGGAGGAAGGGACGGTCAGGCAGGCAGAGGGGCAAGACTGGACTGCCACCCCCTGCCCACCCACCACCCACCCCCTTATTTTTAAAGCCTCTGACCTCTCTGTTCTTCTGCTTGTGCTCCAAGGATTTCATGTGCTCCACAAACTTGCGTGGCGTTTTGAAGTAGCGGCTGCAGACGGTGCAGAAGGGGCGCAAGAAGCGTTTGGCCAGCTGGAAAGAGAGGGGGAAGGAGGAGAGGGAGGGAGGGAGGGAGGGAAGGAAGGGAGAGAAGGAAGGAAGGAAGGAAGGGAGAGGAAGGAAGGAAGGAAGGAAGGAAGGAAGGAAGGAAGGAAGGAAGGAAGGAAGGAAGGAAGGGAGGGAGAAGAAAGGAAGGAATGGAAGAAGGGAGGGAAGGAGGGATTGGAATAAGTGAGTGAGGCAGGAAGGAAGGAAGGAAGGAAGGAAGGAAGGAAGGAAGGAAGGAAAGGAAGGAAAGGAAGGAAGGAAAGGAAGGAAGGAAGGAAGGAAGGAAGGAAGGAAAGGATTGGGAATAGGAGCAAGTGAGTGAGTTAGGAAGGGAGGGAGGGAGGGAAGGAAGGGAGGGATTATTGGGAAAAGGAGTGAGTGAATGAGGAAGGAAGAAAGGAAGGAATGGAAGAAAGGAGGGAAGGAGGGATTGGAATAAGTGAGTGAGGCAGAAAGAAAGGAAGGAAGGAAAGGTTTGGGAATAGGAGCGAGGGAGGGAGGAAGGGAGGGAGGGAGGGATTATTGGGAAAAGGAGCGAGTGTGGGAGGGCAGAAAGGAAGGAAAGGGAGGGAGAGAGGAGGGAAGGAGGGATGTTTAGGCCAGCTGAACCATTTTCTGCCATTCCCCGAGCGGGTGCTGAGCCCGGAGGCTCTTTACCTTGTGCTCCTGGGTCCTCCGGTGCTTGATGAGGTCACCGCTGAAGTTCACCTGGCAGGTATTGCACCAGCGCTGCTGGCTCTCCCTGCAAGGAAGGGAACCTCTCAAGGAGACCAGAAAACCCAGAAGGACCTGTGTGTGGAGGTCCCTAAATTGCAAAGCTTCCCCCCACCCACACACACACCTACCCGTCTCTCTCCGCCGACTCCTTTCCCAAAGGCAGCTGCTTGGGGACGAGACAAACTTTACTTCTTTCCTGGACTTCCTGGAGCCGCTGCTGGTGTGGCTCCCCTGACAGGTGAGCCTGGAAACTCTGGAGCAAGACAAGTGCAAGGGAAGGGAAGGGAAGGAGAGAGAAAGGAAGAAAAAAGAAAGGAAGAAAGGAGGAGGAAGGAGAAGGGAAGGATGGGGAAGGAAAGGAAAGGAAAAAGAAGGAAAAGGAAAGGAAAAGGAAAGGAAAGGAAAGGAAAAGGAAAGGAAAAGAAAAGGATGAAGTAGAGATAAAGGAAGAAAAAACAGAGGAAGAAAGGGGGAGGAAAGAGAAGGGAAGGATGGGGAAGGAAATGAAAGGAAGGAGAAGGGAAGGAAAAGAAAGGAAAGAAGTAGAGAGAAATGAAGAAAAAAGAAAGGAAGAAAGAGGAAGGAAGGAGATGGGAAGGATGGGGAAGGGAAGGAAAGGAGGAAGAAAGGAAGGAAGGAAGGAAGGAAGGAAGGAGATGAGGAAGGGAAGGAAGGAGATGAGGAAGGGAAGGAAGGAAGGAAGGAAGGAAGGAAGGAAGGAAGGAAGGAAGGATGGATTGGTTAGCTGACCTTTGCAAAGCAAGCAAGAAAACCAAATCATATTTTACCAAGAGCTAAAGGGAGGAGGGCCAGCCTGGTGACACAGATAGTCCTCGAATTATGACCACATAATTGGAACCACCATTTCCACTGCTATGTAAGCCCGTTGTGAAGTGACTTTTGAATGGAAGGAAATTGGGGGAAGGGGAAGGGAGAAGAGAAAGAGGAAGGAAGGAAGGAAGGAAGGAAGGAGGGAGGGAGGGAAGGAAGGAAGGAAGGAAGGAAGGAAGGAAGGAAGGAAGATGAGAGGAAGAAAGGGATGAAGGAGGAAAAGAAGGAAGGGAGGGGGGAAGGAGAGGAAGAAAGGGAATAGGGGAGGGAGGGAGGGAGGAGAGGAAGGGAGGGAAAGAAGGAAGGAGAGGGGGAAAGGAAGGAAGGAAGGAAGGGAAGAGGGAGGGAGGAAGGAAGGAAGGAAGGTGAGAGGGAGGGCCATTGTACATGCAGACAAGGAGCCACGATTGGTAGGTTTTTGCTGTCTGTTTTTCTTCCTTCCAGGGACAAACCAGCTTTGTTCTCCTTCTCAAAGGATTCCAGCATTTCCTTCTTCAACAAAACCCCCGGAGTGGAATCCCCAGAGGGATGCACTGGCAGAACCCACGATCCTTCCGTCCCCCACTGCCCTCCCCCACCTTGGGAAACACCTTCCCTCCCCTTTCCTTCTGCCCCCTCCGCTTTGCACCTGTTGGTTGGAGCAGTTGGTTCTGCAGACGTAGCAGAAGTAGTTCAGGGCGGCCCCGGGAGGGGCTGGCAGGGGGGGCCCGGAGGGGCCCGGCTTGATGGCCGGCGTGGTGCTGATGGCCCGGCTCTCGCTGCTCTGCTGGATGGTCACCTTCAAGGCACCCGCATTGCTCAGCACCTGGCACAGAGGGGCGAATGGGAGAGGGGCACGGCTCAACCCTCTGGGCCTGGCGGGCAAGGAAGAGGTCCCCAGTCCGGCCACATCTGGGCAGCTGTTTTGGCCCCCTCGGGCATTGGCGGAAATCGGAATGGGACAACTCGCCACGGCCAACTTGCCGCAGGACAATGTAACCATTTCCGCTTAATTCTTGGAAACACATACAAAATATTTCCGGGTTTGCCATTTCATTCTGTCCCTCCTTCTGCATCCTTTCTTTAGTTCTTCTGCTCCGCCATTTCCTTCATATGAGTGTAGCTCTTGTCCCGCCGCCAATTGCCCAGCAACCAGTTGGCCATGGCGAGCTGTCCCAGTTGGATGTGGCAAGTTGGCCATGAGGAGTTGGCCATAAGGAGTTGGCCATGGCAAATTGGATGTGGTGAGTTGGCCACATCCAACTCATCATGGCCAACTCAC